CTTGGTTTGTCCTCGAACCACATCTTATCAGGAGAGGTACCGCTCTGATACCAATTGTGCTGACTCATACCCAAGATTTAGAATTTGGATTCGACACTTGATGACCTCCGGTATTCCCCTGACGGCCCCTGTGACATAGTTATGTTACTTACTTCTCACTTCTAAGAGTGAAAATTATCCCTACAAACTAATACGAGTTATTCCGAACATGTTTTGTCTTTATTCACATGCATCGTAAAGAAATTCTCATAGCTCCTGTGACATAGCGATATTACTTACTTTTAAGAGTGAAAACTATTCCCACAAACCAACACGAGTTCTTCCAGCATGTTTTGTTTTTACTCACACGCATCCTAAGAAAATTCACATGCTCTTGTGACATGATTATGTTACTTACTTCTCGCTTTTAAGAGAGAAAGCTACTCCCACAAACCAACACGAGTTTTTCCAACATGTTCTGTTTTTACTCACACGCATCCTAGGAAAATTCACACACCCTTGTGACATGGTTATGTTACTTACTTCTCCCTTTTAAGAGGGAAAGCTATCCCCACAAACCAACACGAATTCTTCCAGCATGTTTTGTCTTTACTCACACGCGTCCTAGGAAAATTCACACACCCCCAGTGACATGGTTATGTTACTTACTTCTCGCTTTTAAGAGAGAAAGCTACCCCAACAAACCAACATGAGTTCTTCAGCATGTTTTGTTTTTACTCACACGCATCCTAAGAAAATTCACATGCTCCCGTGACATGGTTATGTTACTAACTTCTCGCTTTTAAGAGAGAAAGCTACCCCCACAAACCAACACGAGTTCTTCCAACATGTTTTGTTTTTACTCACATGCATCCTAGGAAAATTCACACACCCCTGTGACATGGTTATGTTACTTACTTCTCGCTTTTAAGAGAGAAAGCTACCCTCACAAACTAGCACAAGTTCTTCCAACATGTTTTATCTTTACTCACACCCATTCTAGAAAAATTCACACGACCCCTGTGACATGGTTATATTACTTACTTCTCGTTTTTAAGAGAGAAACCTACCCCCACAAACCAACACGAGTTCTTCCAGCATGTTTTGTCTTTACTCACATGCATCCTAGGAAAATTCACACGCCCCTGTGACATGGTTATGTTACTTACTTCTTGCTTCTAAGAGCGAAAATTATCTCCACAAACCAACACAAGTTCTTTCAGTATGTTGTCTTTACTCACATACATCCTAGGAAAATTCACAGGATGTCACCAAACATAGAATTTCTTTAAGCAAAACACACTTAACTATGAAAATCTTATGATTAAGTCATCGAAAATGAAGATGCACTTTGTTGGTATAAGTAATAACTTTCAAATATTTTAAGCTCATACAGATGTAATATCAGTTTATTTATGTACGTGTCACAGCTACGCACAAGTTGAATTTATCAAATTTTATTAGTTTAACATTATATTAAATTTTTTTTAGTTTGATAATTGTTGTGGTGAGAAATCAAACTATCAACCTTTGAGACGATAATCAAACAATCAATAAACGTGTACTAGTCCACGACCATGACATACATTCAGGAACAATCTTATCTATATATATATATATATTCCAATTTCACCTAGTTTTTTGACAATTAATTAAAAAATTAGCTGATATTTTAAAAAGAAAAAATATATATAAATAAACGGGGAAAGCTATTGTACGCCCGTTGCCATTCTACCAGCAGAAGAAAAATCAAATTCCTTATCTGACAGCAGAAAATGACCGCGAAAACCACCTGGCCAGCCAGTCAGTGACGGTAACGTTAGCAGCAGAATTTGACCGTTACGTTTAAATGATATCGATTCATTCACGTATCTCTCTTTTACTCAAGTTTACAAACACATCATCATATATTTACCATGTCCGCTTTAGCCCGTTACGTATTTTCGTTAGCCACACAATTTTAAAACATGTCTGCTAGGGAGATATTTTCACATCATTATAAATTATGTTTCGTTCCCCTTTCCAACCGACGTGAGATCTCACAATCCACCCCCCCCCCTCCCGTGACCTAATGTCCATGCTAGCACATCATCCAGTGTTTGCTTTTGATACCATTTGTAATAGCTCAAGCCCACCACTAGTAGATATTGTCCATTTTAGCTTGTTACGTATCGCTGTCAGCCACATGGTCTTAAAACGCGTCAGCTAGGGAGAGGTTTACACACCCTTATAAAGAATACTTCGTTCCTCTTTTTTAACGAATGTGGGATCTCACATGTCATATGCGACAATGAATCAATACGATACTTTATCTTTGTTAGATAATGACATGGTTGAGTTGTCGATAGACAAATTTTCTTGGACTTTATAAGTCATTATTTTGCATGGATAACTAAATTAAAGTAATTAATTAATTTTTTTTAGTTTAATTTATATGTTTTTTTAAAAAAATAAAAATAAAAATAATGCATTTTAGGGAAGATAATCCTCGTTTAAACAGAGCATAGAGAGGGAACGAGAACGGAGTATAGAAGAGGGAACATGAAGAGATTTTGTAACGACCCAGATCCACCACTAGCACATATTGTCTTTTTTGGGCTTCCTCTTTCGGGCTTCCCCTCAAGGCTTTAAAACGCGTCTACTAGGGGAAGGTTTCCACACCCTTATAGAGGGTGGTTTGTTCTCCTCCCAACCAATGTGGAACATCACAATCCACTCCCCTTTGGGGCCAACATCCTTACTGGTACACTGCCTCGTATCTACCCCCCTTCGGGGAATAACGAGAAGGCTGACACATCATACGGTGTCTGGCTCTGATACCATTTGTAACGACCCAGATCCACCGCTAGCAGATATCGTCCTCTTTGGGCTTTTCTTTTCGAGCTTTCCCTCAAGGCTTTAAAACGCGTCTGCTAGGGGAAGGTTTTCACACTCATATAAGTGGTGGTTTGTTCTTCTCCCCAACCAATGTGAGACATCACAGATTTTTTCCCAGTTAGCTAAACGAAATAAGAGACGGAGATATATCCCTTCTCGATTCATCGTCATGCCTCGTCCTACCCTGCTCTATATATATATATATATATATATATATATATATATATATATATATATATATATGTCAAAATTAAAACATAAAACTAATCTATTATTATTAATTAATTATTACTTAGTAAATAAAAAATATAATTAAATTTATTAGGATGTTTTATATTTTTAATAGAATTTATATTTTAAAAAAAAAGGAATAATTTTTTTTAAATATATATAAAAAATAAAAAAATCACTCAAAACACGATCTTCGCGAATTTCTTGTCGGGAATCTTTGCTTCGAGCTCTGCAAAAATAAATGGAGAAGTTTCCGAGCTTGAATATTGGTATGGATGACAAGACAAAGTTGAAACAGTTTATAAAGTTTATAAAATCTATTCGACACGGATTATCCCATTTTCAGTATAAACAAAAATTCTCATCGGTAACGTAAATGGACATTTTACTCGTCTAATAATATTTTTATTCTAATATTTTTAATAATTTATTCAATTATAATTTTAATTGTTTATAACATTTTTATTTTTATAAGCATGCCTATTTACTTTTTACTTTTAATTGGATTCCAAAAAAAGCTTTTGAAATCGTACCCAACTTACGAAAGCATTGAAAAAAAAAATTAAAAAAATGAAAGAAAAACTAAACTCTTAATTTTAAAAGGCATAAATTAGAAAGAATAAAATTAAAAAAAAAAGCTTGTTAGGTGCAAGAAACCAAACATGCCCACAAATTTTGGAGCCCAAATGTTTAGGTGTTCCGAAAAAGGAAAAATCCTTGACTTCGGCGAGAACATGTCTAACCTATGAAGAGGGATCGTCGCTTACCGACGAAGCTGCCTTGACTCTAGTGAGAATATGTCAACCCAAGAAGTAGAAGGGGAAACCTAAAGCATGAGACAAAGACAATGTTGAAGTCAGAAGAGTCGGCACAATGGGTGAAGGAGCCAATTTTGGCTAGAAGGGCGGCGGTAACTTGGTTGGCGAAGAGGCCAGTGCGACACCCAGATTCCAAAGGTAATATCTGCAGAAGGTTGATAGGTTTAGGTTAGGGTTTATGTGAAAGATGAAGGGAAGATTGAGAAGAAAATGAAAGAGACTATGTTGGTTGAGGGGAAATCGATTGTGTTGGAAAATGTGAGGTTGTATGTACGGCAAATGGTGATTTGGAGGTCAAAAGGGTGGAGCCGAAGAGTAATCGATCGGCTCCGCATGTGGCAGTCATGGCGACTACCCCTGCGGCATCAAAGCCAACAGGGGTGGTGGAGAAGAATGAGTAGGGAATTTAGATTATCTTGTTGATCGAATATTTTAAGACAAGAACATTTGTTTGAGATTCGAATGATTCCACATTGATCATGTCAAGCTGAAATGATTCTAAACATGCGATCTAAACTATATAGAATTGCAAAGAAACTTAGCCCTAATGATAAATAATCACTCGAAGGAAAAGTAAAATTTAGATTATCTTGTTGATCGAATATCTTAAGACAAAAATATTTGTTTGAGATTCGAATAACTCCACTAGCAAGATTGATCATGTCAAGCTTGAATGATTCTAGACATGCAATTTAAACTACAATAAATTCAAACATACTTAGCAATCCAATAAAAACCCTTAACCTTCACTGAGACATTCTAAGAGTAGTAACTTTCATACTATAACAACCCAAGCCTATCGCTAACAGATATTGTGTTCTTTGGGCTTTTCCTCAAGGTTTTTAAAACTCGTCTACTATGGAGAGGGTCTAGCCCTCCAACCAGTATCTTGCATTGTCCGATGACTAGCTCTGCATACCATTTGTAACAACCCAAGCCCTCCGCTAGTAGATATTGTCCGATTTGGCCCGTTACATATCATCATCAGCCTCATGATTTTAAAACGCATCTACTAGGAAGAGGTTTCCATACCTTTGTAATGAACGTTTTATTCTCTTTTTCAACCGATGTGGGATCTCACAATAAAAGTTTATGAGTCTGTCAGACCGCCATGCGACCATCCCAAGTAGGGCGAACCTACCCAAGAACAATCATCCACATACGCAGAACCAAGGGATCATAAGTCATTAATCACGCTCTAGCCACACAGCAATGGTTTATCCACTAGACTTGGGTTCTTGTCTACTTAGAACTCAAGGATACAGATGTTACACGTACTTTATAACCATAATTAGTCACCAAGTAAAAGTTACCTTAAAATACATGAAAGAAACATCGTAACTCTAGATCATCATCCACACAAAATTTATAACCATCCGAGAATAAATGAAGTTTGATTCTTCTTTAATGTGGCATAAATTGCAACATCTTCTGATAATTTGAACAACATTTTCTTCACATCTTCCTTAGACTATGAAATTCCACGTGATTTTGTCTTCTCCTCCCAATTGTAATGGTAGAAAACATTTTTAGTACAATGAGTCCTGTCATTTTATGTTGAAACATGTAACGACTCAACTTTAGACCGTAACTATATGCATGTTATGAACGTTTTTTAAAAACTAAAAGCATTCAAGGGTATTTTTGTAATACTTTTGAAAGTTAAAGGGTATTATCGGTTTCCATCCAAAATAAATGGCAAGGGTCTTTTGAATTTTTTTTTTTTTTTGTTTCTTTAAAGTTTCAGAGAACTTTGGAGATAAATTATGAGATAAATTTCAAACATCTCAATTAACGGAATTATAATTCTCACCCATACAAATAAAAGATTAAGATCGAGTCACTGTATGATCATCTTAAAATTTCAAACATCTCAATTAATGGAATTATAAGGAGAGATTAAATATAAAATTACGTTAAAAATAAATAAAAAAATATTTTAAAGATGTATATTTCAAAATTAAGAGTAAAATTAAATTATATAGATTATATTTAAATAACAAAAAGTCGGCGAAAACCAACTAAGAAGAAAGGCAAACGCTATTCCTATTAGCCCAATTAAGCTCTTCTCATCCACGAAACTTCCATGACTTTCCTAATTCCCCAAAATCACCAAAACCAAACGCCAAAATCTCTCTCTATAAATACCCTCTTCTTCGTCTTCCCTTCCAGCTCCCCCTTTCAATTCTCCTCCATCGTCGAAATCCATCGCCGACGCCTCTCCGGAGGAAGAATCTGAAGGATTCTTAGTCCCAAGTTCTGCTGGAACGAAGATTCGTCTCGCTTCGGTTCCCCAATTCCGATTGGTGAAGCTTTTCTAGGGTTGGAAGAGGAGGGGGAAGAGGAGGAGGAGGAGGTTTTGAACAATGTCCGATGCGTTCTGCTCTGACTGTAAGCGTCAGACGGAGGTTGTTTTCGACCATTCCGCCGGAGACACGGTGTGTTCTGAGTGCGGCCTTGTGCTTGAGTCGCACTCCATTGATGAGACCTCCGAGTGGAGGACTTTTGCCAACGAGTCTGGGGATAACGACCCGGTTCGTGTTGGTGGACCGACGAATCCGCTTTTGGCTGATGGTGGCCTCTCGACCGTGATTGCCAAGCCTAATGGTACGTCTGGGGAGTTCTTGTCCTCGTCTTTGGGTCGGTGGCAAAATCGTGGGTCTAATCCAGATCGAGGGCTGATTCTTGCTTTCAAGACCATTGCTACTATGTCTGATAGGTAAGGGGGTTGGATGTTTTGGTGGTGGTTTGGATGCTGAGGAAGAGTGGAATTTGTTGGATTTCTCTGGATCTTGATTTCGTTTCCTTAGCCTTGTGCCGTTAAACAGATCGAATTGGGATTATGGCGGGGTGGGAATTGGGAAATCTGATTAGTTTGAGGATTTTTATGTTCGTGGGAGAAGTTTTAGTGATGCATACAAATTTTGGGAACAGATTGTTTAGGATTCGGGTTATGCAGCAGGAACTAGTTGGCGAACTTTCTGTAATTTAGGGAAGCGTTTCTTTCTTTCTTGGAAAAATAAGTCGAGGACAAGTGATCTTACCTTGTTTACGGATTCACTTATCAGAAGTTAGAAACTTATATGTTGAGCTAAGAAGTCCTATAAATGAAAACTCGATCTGGGTATTTCTTTTGGGGGGGAGAATATTGAATTGAAACCTATCCCTTTACTGTATAGATGCGCCGCTATGTGATCGAGCTGAATTTTGTAAAATGGTACTTCACATCAGGAAAACTTGCTTGTGAGACAAAGCTTTGGAGTTGAACTTTCTTTTGTAGCTTTTGCTTTCTTTCTTCAATTTCCTGGCAAGCAACTTTGTAGATGGAGTGGAATATCTTAAGTCAGAGCTCAATTAGGTCGATATAGCTTGTTGCTTTGGAGTTTCAAGGTCTTTTTTGTATTCATTTTGGGTGGAGCCACTTTTCTAATTGGGTTTTAAACAGTGAATAAACTTAAATGTTTACTCCTTCCATCCAGTGTTTGATGTATTTTTTAAATTATTGCTCTTGACACAAGATGATTATGGATCTGGGTTTTTTTTTTTTTTTTTTTTTTCCGTATTTTCGTTCAGTTTATGGTGTTTTTGTACTGATTAGAATTTTTATTCGGCTGCTTGTTCTAAGCGTCCCAACTTTGAGTTATGTAATTTGAGATTGATTTATAATGTTCAATGAAGTTATGAGTTTGCATATCTTTGGAAGATTATTGAGTCCCATGGCTACTATGATTTTGGTGCGATTACTTTTGAGACTATTTTTAAGAAGTGCCACATTTAGAAAGACCATAGATAACTAATGCAGCTTTATTGTGTTTCAGGTTGGGCCTTGTTGCAACCATAAAGGTATGCAGTTTTCCATCCATTATGACATAATACCACAAGTTTCTATTTCTTGTATTTTCTCAAAACATTCAGGTTACTTGTCAATATAGAATGATCATGCAATATTCTCAAGGTTGGAATAATGTATGTTTCATAGTTCTTGTTAAACGTTTATTCGGGAAGTGATGCACAATGCATGGGTCAATTTGGAATTGTTGGATACGTACGGTGCACACATATATAGATAAGAAACAAGACTTTCCTTATATAAAAAAGGAGGTTACAAAGGGTCGGAGATGAGGTTTCCCCACTTAGCTAAGGGGCTACAAAAACGCAGGTATTGGCATAAATTTGAAGAAAATAATTACACATATTATCAAAGAAAGAAGTGCAAGCCCTGAAAATAAGATTCAAGTCCTTATGAATTGTGAGATAGAAGCATAGAATAGAAAGTAACCAGAAAATTGTATAATTTCTAAAGCCCTTCCCTATTTCTAACCAAGAACATGCTTGCCTAGACTCAGTGGTTGAATCACTTAGGACAGTGGTTTATTCGTGTAGCGTCATGACTAAAATTTTGTTTTGAGCTTCATTTCTGTAGTAACAAAATGCATATTAAAGGGTTTAAAATGCTGTTGAGGGGGTTGAAAACAGCAAATGGGAGAGGAATTTGTGGAGCATTAACAAGAGAATAATGAGGAAACAGAATAAGGAAGTTGGATAGTGGGTGAGAGTGAATTCATTTATAACTTTGAAGAATTCTTTAAGAACACACTATTGCTGTGATAAAGAATCGTCTGTTGTAGATTTTTGTGCAAACATTATATCCTCTTGGGTGTCTATGACAAAGATATTTTGTAATTGTTATATGTTGCGATTGTACTTGGTATTGTTGCTAAAGACGTATTTGTAGAGGCTTTTGCCGCTTTTTCTTGGCTCTTTATTGTTTCAAACATTTTTTTTGTGGGTATTGCCCAGCTGTATATACTTGTGTTCTGTCCGTGAATGAATAGTTTTTCATTAAAAAAATTTGTTTCCTATTAAAAGAGGTTATTCAATATATACCTGTAGTATATGATTTGAAGATCGGCTTGGTTTTAGATTTTGCTTTCGAGTGTCGTTCATCATTTCTCTAGAAAGTGACCTTTGATATTTTGTAAATGTTTATCTTCAATGAGTTTCAAATTTATTAATTATATATAGGATCGAGCCAATGAAATATATAAAAGAGTAGAAGATCAAAAATCTAGTAGAGGAAGAAATCAAGATGCTTTATTGGCTGCTTGCTTATACATTGCTTGTCGACAAGAAGATAAGCCCCGCACGGTCAAGGGTATTTTCTTATATATCATTGATATCTGGAACATTTGTAGTTTAATTTCTATTCTTACCTAATCATGCTGATTTCGAGTAGAAATTTGCTCCGTTGCCAATGGGGCAACAAAGAAGGAGATTGGCCGAGCAAAGGAATACATTGTGAAACAGTTGGGGTTGGAGACAGGTCAGTCTGTGGAGATGGGAACGATACACGCCGGAGACTTCATGGTGAGTTTTTTGGTGAAAGAACTCATGTTGATTTTTTGAACTTTGATCATGGACAATATGTCGTTTTTTTCTGACGTCAATTTTTTTTTCCGAATGAATATAGAGGCGTTTTTGTTCTAATCTTGGGATGAATAATCAAGCTGTTAAAGCTGCCCAAGAAGCTGTACAGAAATCTGAAGAGTTCGATATTAGGTAAAATTCGTTTCCTCCGGTTGTTGTGACGTAATCTGTAAGCGTTTATGTTCGACAAAATCCATCCTGAAACCATCCCTGTTCTGGTCTGTCAGTAGTAACTGACCATATCGTTGACTTCGGGCATATGGTTGAATGTTACAGTTCAATATGTGCTTGCTTTCCATGCTGCCCCACCGCAGTATTGGTATCTCCCGGTTGATTTCTTTGTTCTCCGACTTAGAATTGAAAATTTCTTATCCATAAGCCGATTGCCCTATCAATATGATGTGAGATCCCACATGGGTTGGAGAGAGGAACGAAACATTCCTTATAAGGATGTGGAAACCACCTCTCCCTAATAGACACGTGAATAGGCCAAAACGGACAGTATCGGCTAATGATGGGTTTGGGCTGTTACATATGGCTTTTTTGCCCATGCTCGTAACCACTTCATTCTGAGGTTGAGGTCAACGCCCACTTTTGTCAAATTAAAAGAATAGGATGTTTTTTTAAGATAGGAAACAAAAAAGCTACCATAAGTCAACTGTATTTTTCTTCATCTTATACTGTAATTCATTCTTCCCAGACACTTTTGAGGAGGAACCCTATTTTTTCGTAGGACTGGAATTTATTCTGGTTGACTTTTTGCTTGAGAGTATTTTCTTCCCTGTTTTCAGGAGGAGCCCTATTTCCATTGCAGCAGCAGTTATTTACATTATCACTCAGCTTTCAGATGATAAGAAGCCTCTGAAAGGTAATGTTAGCTGCC